CGGATCTGGCCCTTCCAGAGAGAGGTGTCGATCTTGGAAGGCTGTGTGGAGTGGCGGCCAATGAGCAGGTCAAGCGCAGGGCTGTCCACGACTCTGAACACGACGCGGCCGGCCTTGCCGCAGAGCACGAGCGGCGCGGTGACGCGCAGCTGGCTCGGGAGGGCGCCTCCGAAGCCGAACCTGTAGACTTCGCCCTCCGGTTCCTCGAGGATCTGGTCGGCGAGGCCCACCCCGGCGAGGATGTCCTTGTAGTTGTCGCACCACTTACTGCCCGAAACGCAGAAAAGGCAGGCGGCGTCCACCGCGCCGACGCCATCGCCCGCCGGCTTCCCGTTGCCGATCGCAACGCCCACGTTCGGCAGGTGGTGAATCAGCCGCTCTGAGACGCAGGCCTCAGGTGGCGGCGACGCAGGTCCCTGCGGGCGAAGAACAATTTCCGCGTCTGCGAACTAGACCTGCACGGCGACGCGCGCCCGGCGCCGCGGGCGACCTCCTCGGCCCCCCCGCCCGCCGCCCTTGGACATGCCGTCCCCGGGCGCGAACGCGCGAGCACCAGGCGCGGGGCGCACCTTATCTCCTGTCCAGTGCCCGGTCTCGCCGCAGCCCCAGCACCGCGACGTCTCCTCGCGCTGGTCGACCGGTTATGAAGCTTGGCCGGGCGGCGAGACGGCGCGGACTTGTTCGACTTGCCGCAGCCCTTAAGGGCCCCCCGGGCTGACCTGATGAACATGGCCTCGGGAACGGCGGTAAGATCCGCCGCGGCGGCCTCGACCTCGGCAGAGTCATCGCCGTCGAACAGCTCGGAGATGTCCACGTTGGAGGACTCGAGCTCGGCGCTGAAAGCCTCGAGCTCCTGACGGACGAGGTCCTGCGCGTCGGCCTCGTCGTCGCCTTCCTCTGCTTGCTCTGCGTCGCCCTCGTCGGTGGGCTCGTCGACGACGTTTGTAGATCGCCCTCCGCGACTGGAAGTAGGGATGCTGCGCCAGCCACCATGGGGGCGCGACTGGTTGCTCCGCGACCTCGAGGGCGGCGGGGCACGTCGCTCGGAGTTGTGGATGTCCGGAAACATCTGCACCAGCAGTCCACGGATGCGCTGGTAGCCGCGGCGTTCGTCGGGCAGGTTGCGCACGACGCGCTCGCGGCGCTCAGCCGCGAGCCCGGCCTTTCGCAGCAGGAACCGCCCCGCTACGTCGCCCAGCGCGTTGAGGCCCACCTCGTTCTCACGTAGCTGCTGGAGACCCGTCTCGAAGCGGATGAGCCAGTCCGTCATTCGTTCACCTCGACGTCGGTGACGCCGCGTAGATTTGAACCACTTCTCGAGGGTCTCGCCCTTCTGCACGGGCTGTTGCTGGCCCAAGTTCGCCTCCAAATGCCGTAAAACATTCTCGATGCCGACCTGATTCCCTCGGCGCTTCTTCTCGTCGGCATCCTCGATGCGTGCTGCAGCTGCAGGGCGCAGCTGCTCCTCCGCCATTTTCAACGCTGCTGTTCTAGCCGTCGCTGAGCCTAAGCACAAGCTTCGATGCGAGACTCTGTGTGACTGAGAGGTTCTCACTGAGCTTCCCTAGCTTCACCTCCTGCTTGTAGTCTCTCCACTTTGAAGGATCTCCGTTCCATGTCGGCATGACTGACTATCCGAAATTATGAGAGATGTCCGTCATCTCTGCAAAAAGGGAGCCGGAGTAAAGGAAATCGAACTCGGCGGCGTCGCCGAAGTTCGGGGGGCAAAAGAAATCGAACTCGGCAGCGTCGCTGATGTTCTGAGAGTAAAGGAAATCGAACTTCGCGGCTTCAATGAAGCTCTGGAGGCATATGAAATTTGACTCGGCGGCTTCGCTGAAGTTCTGGGAGTATGTGAAATTGAACTCGGCGGCTTCGCTGAAGTTCTCGGAGTCTGTAAAATTGAATTTGGCGGTTTCGCAGATGTTCTGGGAGTACGTGCGGCGGGGTAGGCGTAGATGCTGGCGTCGCTGACGCTGGTGTGAGAGTTGGCTGCTAGCGTCGCTGACGCTGGCGTGGGAGTTGGCAGGGTAGGAATAATAGGCGTTGCTGTCGGTGCTAGCGTCGCGGACGCTGGCGCATGTGCTGCGCAGCAGCTGGGTGATGATCACCAGGAAGACGCGGGTCTTCGATTCCAATGGACGTGTCGCAAACGCCGTCGTTGCTATATGGACGGCCCAAACGCCGGGGCAGCGAGCACAGCTCCAAGCTACCACTGCGATATGGAAGATTATCGCTGATAATGTGTTCTCGCACTCTGCGCGGCAGAGATCGTAGCTCAATTCGCCAAGGGCCTTATTTTGAGAGAAAACGGTTGCGACAGAGCGGGCATAAGAGACAGAGCGGAAGCGAGGCGGAAGAGGGCGAGTTTTCTGGAATCACGCTTCTGTGGAGTTCCCTACGGGGCCACGAAACGCTGTACTGGGTTATGGCTGATGCATGCGGGCGGTGCCTCTGGGACCTTCGGTGGAGCCCCCTATGGGAATACGAAGCGCTGTGCTGGGTGGTGGGTGACGCATGCGGGCGGCGGAGGGGAGGGGGCGAGGGGGAAGGAAAGAGGGAAGGAACGCGGGGACCGTCTCTTCAAAACGAAGACCCAGCACCACAAAATGGTTGGGAAAAACTTCTCGGATGGTCGGGGGACTTCCGAGCCCTCCGACAAGGTCAAGGTCCGCCCCTCGTTCGCCGCCCCTCCTCCCGCTGGATCACCCCCTCCCGCCCCTCTGCCGGCCCCTCCCTCCTCCCCTCCTGCTGCCCTCGCCCTCCTCTCCTGCTCCTGCCTCCGGCCTTCGGCCTCCAGCCTCCGTCCTCCTTCCTCCTCCTCCTCCTCCTCCTCCTCCTCCTCCTCCTCCTCCTCCTCCTCCAACTCCTGTTCCTCCTCGTCCTCCTCCTCCTTTTCCTCCTCCTCCTCCTCCTCCTCCTCCTTCTCCTCCTCCTCCTCCTCCTCCTCCTCCTCCTCCTCTCTCCTCCTTGTGCTGCTCCTCCTCCCTCCTTCCTCCTGCTCCTCCTCCTCCTTTCCTGCTCCTCCTCCTCCTCCTGCTCCTCCTCCTCCTTTTCCTCCTCCTCTTCCTTTTCCTCCACCTCCTCCTCCTCGTCCTCATCATCATCACACCACCACCATCATCATCATCCTCATCATCATCATTATCCTCATCATCCTCATCATCATATCATCATCATCATCATCATCATCATCATCATCATCAGCATCATCATCATCATCATCATCATCATCATCATCATCATCATCATCATCATCATCAGCATCATCATCATCATCATCATCATCATCAGCATCATCATCATCATCATCATGATCATCATCATCATCATCATCATCATCATCATCATCATCATCATCATCATCATCATCATCATCATCATCATCACCATCCCCCTCCTTTTCTGACGCTGGCCATATACATGAGCACCTAGGCTGTTGCGTCGTGGCCTCCTTCTCCTCCTCCTCCTCCCCCTCCTCCTCCTCCCCCTCCTCCTCCTCTTCCTCCTCCTCCTCCTCATCATCCTCAATCTCATCCTGATGATTCTCCTCATCATCATCATCATCGGCTCAGCATCAGCATCATCATCGTCACCATCAGCATCAGCATCAGCATCATCACCATCATCATCAGCATCATCAGCATCAGTATCATAATCAGCAGCATCACCATCATCAGCAGCAGCATCAGCATCATCACCGCCATCGTCAACTTCATCCCCCTCCTGGTCGTCCTCCTCCTCCTCCTCCTTCTCCTCCTCCTCCTTCCCCTCCTTCCTCCTCCTCCTCCCTCCTCCTCTTCCTCCTTCCCCTCCTCCTCCTCCTCCTCCTCCTCCTCCTCCTCCTCCCTCCTGCTGCTCTTGCTCCCTCCTCCTCCTCCTCCTCCTCCTCCTCCTCCTCCTCCTCCTCCTCCTCCTCCTCCTCCTCCTCCCTCCTCCTCCTCCTCCACCTTTTCCTCCTCCTCCTCCTCGTCCTCCTCCTCCTCCTTTTCCTCCTCCTCCTCCTCCTTGTCCTCCTCCTCCTCCTCCCTGCGGGGGGAAGGAAGGAGAAAGCTCCCAGCAGCACTCGAGGCCAACGGGGCCCAGGAAGGGACAGCCAGCGGCGGGCCAAGGTGCTAGACCGAGGTGGGGCCCACCGCTGAACAAAAAAACAAAAAAATGCAAACGACGCAAGTCAATTAAGACGCCCCGGGCAGGTGCCTTTGGCAACCGCCTGGTCTGCGGGAGAGGGGCACCCGCCGAGGGAGAAGAAGGCAGGCCAGGGGAGGCCGCTTCTGGGCGGCGAGGGCGGCCGGCCCGAAGAGAGAGGGAAAGGGCAAGGGAGAAGGGGAAGACGGGGGGCGGTCGGCAGTCGTCGTTGCGGGGGGTCGTATGAGACCGTCGTCGGTAATGGTCGTCGTCGTTGGTGGTCGTCGTCGCCGGCAGAGGTCGCCGTCTGGTTACTGCAGGAGATCGTCAGAGATCGTCGTCGGCGGCGGTCGAGTCGTCAAAGTAGGACGTCGTCGGCAGTGGCCGCTGCCCGGGGCAGCGCGGCTACATGCGGATCAGGCATCAAGTGCCAATGGCAACCAGCAGCGCCTCGGCGTTGCCAACCTGGAGCAGGCAGCTGAGCTGCAGCCAGGCATACCGTAGCACCTCGGCGCGCGCCGCTCCCTCCATGCCGTGCGCCAGGGACCGCACGTAGGCCGCTGCCGCGTCACATGGGCGCCCGCCGGTCTCGAAGACTCGAAGACGACTGGGACAAGGTCGCCGCCGTGAGGTGGGCACCTCCGTCGCTTGTCGTCCTCGCGGGTCTGGGCGGCAAGGCCGTCCCGGCCGGAGCGAGCCCGCTGGCGCGACTGGTCGTCGCTGCGAGCGCAGACAATGCTCACGTCCAGGAAGACCGCGGTGCCCGTCACCGCGTCGCGGGTGGCAACATCCAACTTGGCTTCCTCCCACTCCCCAGTCCTCGTGTTGGTTCGGTGCCAGGCTGCAACAAGCTGCTCCGATCTCTTGCCCACCGCTGAGGCGGTGCTGCGGCTGGGCGCTGGTCCGGATCGGGTTGCGGCTCCCCGTCGAGACGGTCGTGGGCGCCAGCGCGCGGCTGGCTGCCTCGGGAAGCGGCAGCAGCACAGAGGGCGACGCTGCGGGCCTCCGCGTGGACGAAGGCGTCGAGGGCGCCGACGGCGAAAACGCCGGCGAAGGGAAGCGGGGTCCTTGCGGGAACGACCCTGGAGGAGAACTGAAAAACAACAGGGCCCATCTCCCCTCCCAGGACCAAGAAGTCTGGCGAGGGGGGACAGGTGCAAGGAGGGGCATGGTCGGTGGGGTTCGACGCCAGGGCAGGGAAAGGGGGGAAACACCCCATAACAACAGGAGAAGCAAAAGTGAAAGAGGGGGGGGCCAGTATGTCGAGCTAGCAAAAACCGCTGGAGAACCCGGAGTCCACGAAGGACTCCGACAACAGCTGGGCGCCTGCGCAGTCAGGCCGCAGACGATGCTGGTTTCCGACGCGCCCCTCGGCGTCACTGTGTTCGACTCCGTGGGCCTCCGCGTGGGCGAAGGCGTCGAGGGTGCCGACGGCGAAACCGCCAGCGAAGGGAAGCGGGGTCCTTGCGGGAAGGACCCTGGAGGAAAACGGAAAAAAACAGGGCCCATTACCCCTCCCAGGACCAAGAAGTCCGGCGAGCGGGGACGGGGGCAAGGGGGGCATGGTCGGTGGAGCAAGAGAGACGTGGACAGAAGCTCAGGCTCAGGGGGCCGAGGCACAGGAAGGGCGGGGGTAGAGCGGGTGAGCGAGGGAGGCGAAAGCAAGGGAGGGAAGGAGGAAGAGGAAGAGGGCAAGGAGATCAGGTCCTCAGGGAGCGTGGGGACCCCGTGAGTCCACGAAGCCCTCCGAGAGCGGCCAGGCGTCAGCGCCTGCGGGCCAGGCGGGCCGCTCCGAGGCGAGCCAGGCGCCAGCCCAGCGCGGAGGTGGTGCTGCGGCGGGGTGCTGCTCTGGGTCGAGCTGCGGCTCCCCGTCGAAATCTCGGTCGTGGGCGCTGAACTCGTGTCGCTGCTCGCGCCAGCAGTGGGCAGTAGGTCGCGGCTGCTGGTCTAGGGGGCCCACAAAGGACGTACGCGCCCAGCTATGTACAGGAGCACGGCCTCTTGACCCGCGAGACCTGCCGCGCGATACGAACATTCGCGCAATGCGAACTCCCGAAACCAGCGTGGATTCATGTACATGTACGTCCTTCGTTCGCTCCTGATGGTCGTTAGCGCCGTGCCGTTAGTGCTGGACCTGGTCGACGGCCTCCTCGGGATGACCGTCATTGGTCCCCGATTGCTAGCCGTCTTGGCCGTGGCGCCAGTGCCGAGACAAGCGGCCGAACTCCTGGTCGTCGTGGTGGGTTTGCGGCTGCTGGCCACCGCAGTCGAGGTCGGCTCTCGTCGGCGGGGGTCGGAGGCGGGGCGGTAGGGAAGGGAAGCGTGGGAGGAAGCAAAGGAGGGAGGGCCAGCCGTCCTTAAGTCGTGAATTTGAATGTTGGACGCTGTTGCAAATTGAATTAGAAAATCGTTAGCCCAAGAGGGCGGACCGACTGCCAGAATCGGGGGGCGAACAAAGAAATAAGAAATAGGGGGCGCACAACACGTGCAGGAAGCATAGATGTCCGCATATTTAATTATACAGTGCATCATTATCAAGGCCAGCTCACCGCTGGCCAACTCACCCCGCGCTGTTGCCAGCGTCCGTGCGAGCGAGGCGTGATCCTCGCTTGTGACGTTCTTCTGGGAGCCCTCCTCGCAGTCCAGGGCGAGACACTGCGCACTCGTCTCTAGCGCGGGCGGCACCATGTGCTCGGAGACGTCCGATCCCTGGATGGGTCCTCCACACGCCATCTGGTCCGTCAGCAACGTCTGCAAAAAGTCCTGGCCGTCCGCCTTCACCTCTGCACCCGCGTACACGTAGCCAGGCACGTACGCGTAGACTTTCTCGATGGGCATGGCCACGGGGTCCACCTTCTGGTGCGGGTCCGCGACCTTGTCGTCGAGCATGTCCATGATCTGTCCGAAATCGTCCGCGAGCACCTCTGCGCCAGCCATTGACTTCACCACCATGCCGCCCGACACGCCGGCGACGGAAAGCTGGCCCTGAGGGTCCCGGCGTAGTGGGACACAGGGATCATCTCCGCGGTCATCGCGCCTTTCATGCCGCTCCTGGTCTGAAAACGGAGGATGCCGTAGGGACGCTTCTTGTAGGTGATTGCGGCCGAAGCGTTGAACGCAGAATCCGCGTCCTTTGGCCCGCAGCGCCCCAAGCACTCCGCGCGCACGCGCCCGCCCAGGCGCCATCCGCGCCAGCAGCTCCTCCTCCTCCTCCTCCTCCTCCTCCCTCCTCCTCCTCCTCCTCCTCCTCCTCCTCCTCCTCCTCCTTCCTCCTCCTCCTCCTCCTCCTCCTCCTCCTCCTCCTCCTCCTCCTCCCTCCTCCTCCTCCTCCTCCTCCTCCTCCTCCTCCTCCTCCTCCTCCTCCTCCTCCTCCTCTCCTCCTCCCTCCTCTCCTCCTCTCCTCCTCCTCCTCCTCCTCCTCCTCCTCCTCTCCTCCTCCTCCTCCTCCTCCTCCTCCTCTCCTCCTCCTCCTCCTCCTCCTCCTCCTCCTCCTCCTCCTCCTCCTCTCCTCCTCCTCTCCTCCCTCCTCCTCCTCCTCCTCCTCCTCCTCCTCCTCCTCCTCCTCCTCCTCCTCCTCCTCCTCCTCCTCCTCCTCCTCCTCCTCCTCCTCCTCACTCCTCCTCCTCCTCCTCCTCCTCCTCCTCCTCCTCCTCCTCCTCCTCCTCCTCCTCTCCTCATCCTCCTCTTCCTCCTCCTCTCTCCTCCTCCTCCTCCTCCTCCTCCTCCTTCTCCCCCTCCTCCCCCTCCTTTCTGACGCTGACCATCTGCATGAGCACCTAGGCTTTTGCGTCGTGGCCTCCTCCTCCTCCTCGTCCTCAACCTCAACCTCATCCTGATCATACTCCTCATCGTCATCGGCATCAGCAGTCTTGCGGAAAGTTGCGACGTTCTTATGCTTTGAAGTGGGAGGAGGCCCACTCGTGCTCCTTCTTCTCGGGCTACGGCTTCAAGTCGGCAACGGATGTCGTCTGGAGGCAGGCGGCCCGGAGTGAGACTTCTGTGCGTGGCCGTGGCTTTGCAGCGACTATCTTGTGGGACTTGCACAAGTTCTACGAGCTTACGGACCTGCAGGCGCTCGAGCAGCGCTGTGCGGACCTGGATCTCCTTTGCCCATCATCAAGCTCTCTATCAGTGCTTATCGTAGCGCACGGTATATCAACATCGCGGGCTTCCTGAATGGCCCTTACCTCGCTGTTAGGGGGTCGTTGCTGGGTGCAGTCTTGCGACCACGTATGTGCGGATATATTACATGCGTGCCTTTCAGGGTGTTCGTCTCACTCAGAGTGTTTCGCTTGACTTGTTCATCGACGACGTTGGTCTCTCTGGCAGGGGGTCCGCCCAAGATGTGCTCGCGGGCCTCAAGGTGGGCTCTTCTGCCGTGTATCGGGCCGTGACAGATGATATCAAGGCTGTGGTTGCTCCAGAAAAGGCGGCAGTTGTGGCAAGCGACCCTGGGCTAGGCCACTCTCTTGTTTCGTGGTTGGACAGGTTGTCTGGGCAGTCGGGTCGCACGGACACAGCGGTCAACTTAGGCATCGATGACACGGCTGGACGCCCAAGACGTGTTCGCGACCGTGGGTCTAAGTTCAAGAAGCGTTCCAGGGATGTCAGCGCCCGCGTCTCCAGGATCAAGAAACAGCAGCACATCCTGGGTCGTCAGGCCAAGAAACTTTTCGTGAGTGGCCCGCTGCCCGGATTGTGCTACGGTGCGGAGGTTCACGGCATCAGCAACTTTGAGTTGTCCCAGATCCGCGTGCACGCAGGCCGGTGTATTAGGCCGTCGTGCGGCGGACGCTCACTCACCGCCGCGCTCATCTTCGACGACGAGCCGTGCTGGTATAGCATGGTTGCTCCTATTGTTCGGTGGGCGAAGGAGGTTTGGGCAGCTCAGTGCCACACATCTCTTTACTCCATCGGTCTCCCGGAACTTCGCCGGATGTGCTCGCGTGTGTTCGAGGGGCCGGTCCCGAAATCCTGGAGGCAAGTTTCGGGGCCCATCAGTGCGCTGTACATGTCGGTGTGCAGGCTGGGATGGTCTATGAAGAACTTCGTGACGCTCGTCGACCACAAGGGGGTGGAAATCATGTTGACCTTTCTCAGCCCGGCCCTGCTCAAGGATGCATTGCGTCGAGCTGCAGTTCGTCAGCTCGCGTGCCAAGCTGCTGATAAGCTCCAGGTAGGCTGGTCTCGCGTATGCTTCGACGTCGCCAAAGCAGGAACCCGCAAGAAGAAGAAATACACGCCTCTGGAGGCGGGTACGATCAGGAATCTGATTTGTGGAGGCTGCTGGACGGCTGAGCGCGCAGTCTCCCTGGGGTACCAGCTTTCGGACGAGCAGAGGTTGCGCCCTCTGTGCAAGAAGGCCCCCGACATGGTTCCCCACAGGCTTTGGCAATGCGAAGCGGTTGCCGAAGAACGCGAACCTCTGGTCACCGCCTCGGCCCTTGATCGCGCGAATGGCGTCTTGTCTGATAGTGAGATGATCCTGTTCACTCGGGGGTTGTTCGCTCACCCCGAGGGGTCGTGGCTGGATCTGCTGGCCTCTGGCGGGGCCGAGGTCGTTTCCGAGGGGGTCGATTTCGCTGCGGGCCTGATCTTCGGAGCTGGTTGGGGAATTGTTTTAGTAGATGTGCATGGCGCGCCTCTTTGCACGATCTATGGACCTGTGCACGCGCCGCTGCCCCAGACGGCCCCGCCGCTGAGTTCACTGCGCTCGGGCAGGCCTCTCTGCAGCTGGGCGGTGCGAGTGATCTGTATTCTGACTGCCTGGCAGTGTGCAAGCATTTCCAGTTGCCCCGCGGTGAACGGCTATCGTACCGCCGTAAATATGCAGGTCAGTTTCAGTATCTCAACGCCTGCTCTGACATTGCCAGCTTAAGCAAGGTGCGTGCGCACCTAGACCCTCACGAAGAGGGGATCGAAGAGAGCGAGTCGTGGAGGCGTAAAGGTAACGGATGTGCCGACACTGCCGCCCAGCTTGGTGCCCTGACCCACCCCCGTGCGTCCACGGATGAGCATGAATCGCTGGATGCCACCATTGCTGTAGCGCGTACTGTTTATCGTCTGGCTGCGAAACTATTGCCCCTCTGGCCTCGCCTCAAGCTGGGTGGTGTTGCTTTTCAGCCAGCGGCCCGAGTGCAGTCGGTGCCGCTCGATTTTTGCTCTCACGAGTGGCATGGTCACGGCAGCATGTGGCGTTGCTCGGTGTGCCGGCTAGGATCTAGGTCTGTGTCGAAGCCTCCTCCTGGCAGGTGCCCTGGGCCGAGCCAACATGATATGGATGCTGCTGAGGCCTTGGGCCACAGTCCAGCTCTTTTTCACGTTTCTGACGGCACGGATTGCTTCTTGTGCCTGAGGTGTGGTGCCTTCAGGGAGCTCTCGCGAAAAGCAACTTCGCCA